ATTAATATTTTTCATTCACATAATATGTTACGTGATAACGTACATAATCATATAGCAATTGACGTGAAATTGATCACATTGATAACAAATATTTGTATGGAGACAAACTTGTTTAATTATAATAAAAGAACATGAAATCAATTATGTAAATGGATATAATTTAATAATATTTTGTATTATTTAAGTTAATAAATAATGTATATATATTCCCTCTGCTATATGAAACAAATAAGATTGTGTTTACTCTGATTAAAGATTTCAGAGGCTTGTTGGGGCTGTGAGTGGAACAGCGGCCTTCTCAACCCCACACGATTCTCATTCCCAAATGGACGACAAGGAACAGAGGCAGAAAGGCCTCCCCATTTCAGATATTCCAGCCTCTGATAGAGACGTCTGATACATATCTCAGACCACTCTCTCTCTCTCTCTGTCTCTCTTCTCACTTTCCCTTTGCTTTGAATTGATGGGATTACGGGGCTTTGTGAGTTACGATGCACAGCCCACTGGCCCTGCCAACCACATGCTTTTTCTCCTTTTCTCTTCAAAACCTTTTTTCATACAAACATTTTCTTGTTGGCTTCGAGTCACTCCTCTTACGTGAAGACACCTCATCCTTCTGCATGCAAAAATATATTATGTCCAACAGTTTTATTACTTTGGGTGGTTGAGCAATGTTAATTATGAACTCATTAACTTAACCACAGCTATTTACTAGTAATTTTTCACCCTTTAACCCTTTGAAAGTATACCCAACAATGTCCAAAAAGGAAAGAATTGCAGAGCCTGATCATCATGAAATGTCCTTTTTCCTGTGATTTCTGTTTCTTCTGGCATGGATGATATATAGTAGCATACAGCGAAGATAATAAATTAAGACATTGATCATGGTATATTTAGTTTATGCTATGAATAAGAAAACAGGCAGCTGGACCAAGATGTCAAAAACCAGGCAGATATCAGTGGGGATAGTCGCTTATTTCCAAAAATTTTCAGAGGAGAAGTGTCCCGACTAACGGCACTCTTATATATGTGTCCTTTGCAAGTTAATCTGCAAGCCCTTTTCCTCCCTTCTTGGAAGTCAGATCTTTGATCCTTTAAGAACTAAGACTCAATCTGCTATATATCACAGTATCACATGTAGCAGTTAAGTAGATTTGTATAAATTAAGATTCAGCTGGTTATAAATATTTGCATGCAGATGATGATGAACCAATTGATGAATAATTTGTTGGATATCTTCTCTTCTATATGGAATCAGCTGATCAAGCATTGGTTTTTATAGAAGCAAAACCATAATCCTTTGATCTTCGGAAGGACTCTCCGGGATCAAACCTGCTTCTTGACCAAGTTAGAAGTATTAAAAGAGAAAGAAGAAGGGGGGACAAGAAACCAAAGAATCTGAGCCCCTCAGAGAGACAACTTAATTGGTTTGTAGCTAGATGCTCAATTGCTCAGCGTGGAGAGAGGCACAAACTTGACCAAACCCTGGCAAAATCCATAAACTTAAAAGCATGGTATTGAAGTTTTGGATGTGGCAGGGATTCCTCCATTTGATGAAGTGCCATAGCACCCTCTCTCTACCAGGCCGCTCCTAGCTAGTTTACTTCTTTTGGATTCTTATCTTAGTCAATCAGAACTAGTATAATGTGCATATAATTTTGCTCAATAAATATTTAGTTTATATTAAAATATAAAACTTTTAATGTATGAAATAGTCTTTACATTTAAACCTAGGTTGACAACCGATGTGACAAGATAGGATCATTAATCTAAAACCTAAAAATTTAATAGAAGGGAAGTTATATGAAGAACACTTTCGTGGCCTAGACAAAAAGTTTGCGCAATAATTTTCCTAGGAATTTCCCTAAAACGGAACCTACAAAATGTTCACATTAAAACAAACACAACAAGGAAAGGAAAAAAAAGGGGAAGGAAAGAAAATCAAATAAAATATTGAATGATTCCGATTTCCCAAACCAAAGTTCTGCCTGCTTCCTTCACTGTTCAGCAAGCTTTCTCTCTCTCTCTCTCTCTCTTGGAATTAAGTAGTATATAAAGAGCCACCGCCCTCATCCACCATTAACAGGGACGACATTCAAATCAAAACAGCGAGTCCTCTTTCCAGCTTTCGGACGAATCTAGAACAAAGAACGAGGTGGGGTTTTTTTTTGCCTTCTCTTTGAACGAACCCCCTTTTAAAGCAGCACTGTATCGCTTTTTCTATGGACCAGGAGCAGGACCAGTCTCCTCTCTCTCACCCTCCCCAAGAAACCACCGCAAAAACCACCACCACCACCACTCCTGATCAGGACACCAAAAGCTCTGAATCTGAAAGCATAATTATTAGCGCCAATACTAACCCTCCAGGCAGCAGCTGCACCACAACAGCAAGCAGGAATGTAAAGGCAAAGGTGGCCCTGATAACAACAAGTTTAGATATAGAGGCGTGAGGCAAAGGAGCTGGGGTAAATGGGTGCTGAGATCCGGGAACTCGAAAACGTACGAGGAAGTGGCTTGGAACTTCGCCACAGCAGAGGATGCAGCTCGGGCCTATGATCGAGCGGCTATTATTCTTTATGGTTCCAAGGCTCAGCTCAATCTCAACCTCGGTCTCTTCATCGTCTTCTTCTTTTCCTCATCCTCTCGTGGCGGTTCATCTTCTTCCTCCTCTACTCAAACTTTAAGGCCCTTGCTTCCTCGCCCTTCAGGCTTTGCTTTTAGTTTTGTTTCTTCTTCAAATCCGGTTACTCATCCAGCTTCTTTGATCGGGGGTTCTTCATCAAGGTTTACCCATATGGGCTTTATCCAAACCTTTTAAGCCCCGCCGCACTTTACCCAAGCATGGTACAAAATCCCAGCAAGCCTTGCACATAGTGCAACAAACCGAACCTAGCCTTGTTGTTAACCATGGTGACCCCACTGGAACATTAACCTCGTATGCAAATCCTAACCCTCAACAAACACAGCAGCATCATCAAGTTCTTTGCACGAGGATATCAATTCCCTGGTGGGCTCAGTGGGTTCGAGCTTGTCTTTGTCAGCTCAGACTTCTGTTGCACCAGCGGTTCCGGATCCGGGTTTAACAGTTGGCCCTGGTTCTCCATCCGTTTGGCCTTTCACAAACGATGATGAATACCCCCCAGCTTGTATTTGGGATTATGGGGATCCTAATTTCCTTTTTGATTTCTGAGGCTCATATTCAAAGTTTCTTTGGGTTTCCCTTAAACTGTCCTGTAGCTTTTGCATGCAAGTTTTTCAAGGGTTTTCTTCCTGGAGACTCTTGGCTGCTGAGCTTCAAGATTTGATTTTCCATAGTTTCAGTGGAGAATTTTTATGGGATCTTCAAGAAATCAATATTAAGCTTGAATCTGGAAATACCATTTATAGATATAGATTTGAGAGACCCTTGAAAGATGAAGAACAGACAGGAGAATTGAAGTGTTTTTTAGCTGTGATTCCTAGGGCTCCTAGCTATATATCTACAGCCATCAAAGAGCAAAAGAGAGAGATGGTTTTCTATAAATAGTTGCATGTCTTGTCTCTGCACTTCCTCGATAAGATCAGATGAAAACTTTGAGATATTTCAAGGTATGGCTCCTTGATCTAAGGCAAGGCCAGTTTTTATAATTATTTTTTTTTTTCCTTTGTGAAGATTGCTGAAAGGAAGTTTGAAGGGTTTCCAATTCCATTTTAGGGTTTTAGGCTACTTGGCTTGTGTTGTAAGGATGAACAAAAACAAATTAAATTTGAGTGAGAATTATAACTTGTTCTCATCAATTCAATGAAAGAAATTTTATGATTTTCACTTCATATAGTTTGTGTTGATCTCTTAATTCTCCTCAGTTACTATCATTAATTAGTTGTAATATCATAAAAAGATACAATTTATAAACACACTGCTTGTAGGTCTTGGAACAATTCTTATCATTTTCCCCTTTTTCTTTGAAATATTGTATTAATTAAACCTAATTAAGACATAATATCTGAGATAAAATGTTTTTTTCCTCATCATCACTCATTTTGTCTTTGACATTGCTTCACTGTTTAGATTTTTAATTTTATTGGATGAAATTAAGGTGTCAGCATGATTGCTTTGAAGGTACATATCTTTAGGCCTTCTAATGCTAAGAGTTAAGGAGAAGACTTTGTTACCTTTCTTGGTTAACTATAAGTATATGCAGTAAATTTCTTTTAATGCCAATTTTTAGTGAACTTCATTAATTTGGTTGAGCTGATCTGAAGGTAAAATCGACCACCCTTTTAATTCTTTTTACCTCAGAAACCTTGTTTTATAGCAGAAGAGCAATTTATCTTCATGAATTCATGTAGTGTTCTTTGTGTTGGTGAATTAATTGTTAGTGAGAAATTGCATGTTACATTGTCTTGTATAAAGCTATATATGTAAGCTAAAAGTTTTGCTGCCTTGAAGCCATGGCTGCACTCTGAAAAAACATTCATTTCCAGCATTTATGCTTTCTTGCTAAACATTTATGCTTTGCATAAATGCTTGCAGGGGATAAAATTGTAGTAGCTGTTTCTCTTTGCACTCAAGTTCTTACCAATTTTTGAAGTGCATGTTTTTCCTTTCCTATGCTTATAAATTATTGTTCAATTATTTGATTCCAATAATATGTTAAATAATGTTGAGATATATATTGAAAATTTAAATAAATTATAACCATTTTAGTTTTGTTGAATATTAGTATAGTAGTAGTAGTAGTTTTTAAATAATAGACAAGAACATGGCCTACTGTTTAGTAATATGTAGAAAGCCCAAAGGATTGCTATTTAAGTATTTTACCAGTTAAAGCCCAAAGATGTGAGGTGGGGAAGGAGCTGAAATATCCAAATGCAAGTCATGGTTGTGAATGTCTTGGATTTAATGCAAGTGAAATTGGAATTTACATTATTTATGTAAATAAGATGTTCCACTTAACTTTACCTTTCTTCTTTTAGTATTTTTCACATTCAAGAAAACATATATATATATATATATATATAATGCAATGTCATTGTGATTTGTGTTTGTAAAATCACTTGATCAATTGCTATATGGAATACTTTGAGCAAAATTTTGTGTTATATTTCAAAAGGTAAGCTTTGTCTATACTTTTTGTAATTTTAACTTTTTCATATAATATTGTGTATTTTCATAAGATTTTTTTTAGAAAAAGATTAAACCGTTAAATTTTATATTTTATTATTCATGAGAAAAAGGAAAATACAGGAAAAAATTAAGACGTTTAGGTGGAGTTTATCTTATATCCTATGAATGGCTCGTATATGGGATTCGATTTTTATTTTTTTAAATAAGAGATTATGTATTAATTAATGAATCTTTTATACAATTAATATTAGAATATGTTGTGCTGACCCAATTTCTGTCCCTTGAAGAACAATCCGACTTTTCCCACTGTAAAGCAACCTTGAAAGCAAAAGGTTGGCCCTTCATATCCTGGATGGTTCTTTATAAGGATTGAATGCATCCATGGATAAACTCATGCAAGCCCATATACACTTACTACTTTTACTATTTTCTTGTTTCCCCCCCACTAACTTTATGGCCACCAAGATGAACTTCACTTGTAAAGGAAAATCTTCCCAATCCCTTCTTTGGATTTGCCATTTTTCCCCTTTCCTTGAGGAAGAAAGTCAAATTTGCTGAAAGATTTGGACCCCAAGGTTTCCCAAAAAGATAACATTTTTTTTTTATCATAATTTAGTACAGTTTGGATTCAATTTAGATACTCCCAACTTTTCTTTTAATTGATTGGGTTTAGGGTTTATCAACAAAGACAAGTTTACTTTTGCTTTACATTTTAATATGACTACCTTATAGTTTTTATCAAAACATTTCTTTTTATCTTTGATCATTATTATTTTAAACATTTTTATTAAATAAAAATTTTGGAATAACATTTTATTTTAATAAATTTTTATGAACAAAAATCAAAATGTGGCAAATTAATTTTGATAGAGTATTATTTTATTATTAAAATAACTACATTATTACTAAATTAATTATTATCATGCCTTTTGAAGTTTGTACTATTTTTAATTTTCCTTTCAAATGAAAACAAACAAATTCATGATAAAAAAATGTATTTGATATACTATCAAAGTATAGTATTTATACCTTATTAATTAATAAATGAACTTAAAATGGAAAACACTAAAAAATAAATAAATATAATTTTAAAACTATTTAATTTGAATTTTTTTAATTTTTACTATTATTTATTTATAATATGATATTTTATAATTAAGTGATAATATATAAATATTATATACCAATTGTACTGATTATACATCAAATATAAATTCAAAAAAAATTGAATTATGTAATTATTTTACTTTTAGTGAAATGTAACTATCAACGGTACATCAACTGTAAAAGTAAAAACTACCAACTAAATAGCAGTATAAAAACAGCTTATTGGGACAAAATCCTTATCTCCCCACTTCCACAACTGTCCATATTAACTGCCAAACATGCCTTGACTTCCACTGTCGTGAAACCTTCCTCTTTCTTCTTCCTAAATGGCTTCATCCCAAGACTCTCAGCCTTTCCACTGGCACTACGCCGAGCTCGAAGACCGCGACTTCCAAATCCGAGGCCGAACCCTCTTCTTCATCATCGTCCTCTTCTCTTTCGTCCTCGTCTTCACCCTCATCTTCGTTTACGCCCGATGGATTTGCAGTTTCCATCGAGACAACAGTAGTACCCGGTCCCCGACCTCCCACGCGCCTCCACCGCCTCCCCCGCAGCCTCGAGGTCTCGACCCTGCCACCATCAATGCCTTGCCGATAACCATGGTCACGGGAGGGAGGAAGTCGGCGGCTGTGGTGGCGGCGCTTGAGAGTGAGTGCTGCATCTGCCTCGGAGTGTTTGAAGATGGCGAGAAAGTTAAGGTTTTGCCTGCTTGTCAGCATTCCTATCACTCCGACTGCGTTGATAGGTGGCTCAGTGCTGAGTCGAGTTGCCCACTTTGTAGAGCTTCTCTCCGAGCTGAATCAGAGCTTCATCAGATTCCTGTCATTGTAACTCAATAACATCAACAACGGCAACAACAATAAAAGAAAAAAAGATTTTTTTCTCTGTAAATTATATTTGTTTTATATAATCAGTTTCCACTAATTTTGGCAAAGTTTTTCCTTTTTTTTTTCCTTTTAATTTTATTTTCTGTTCTATTTTTTTTCTTTGAATGGAAAATTCCATGTGCTTGATGAATTTGCTCAATGAATAAGTTTGTTCACTTGTTGCTTTTTTGGCCTTTTCAGGTTGTTGTTGTGAGTGGAGAAATATGTGTGCTCTTCCCTTCTCTCACATTAATTCAATACCATCATCAAACAATTTAGGTAATTAATTTGAGTTAAATAATCTATGATATTGTTAATAATAATATCGAAAATATTAATCCGTGTTTATAGACACTTGTTAACAAGAACATTAATCCATGTTTACATACACTTATTTTTTTAATTTAAGATCGTTAATCGGTGTTTATGGACGTTCGTTAAGAACATTAGTCCGTGTGTCTACGTATACTTATTATTATTATTTTAGTATTGAAAATATATTAATCCGTGTTTATAGACATTTGTTAAGAACTCCGGACGTCATATTTATTTATAAAACGAATAATTTAGTATGATTTATGAAATGAAATCCCCTTAATTGAAAAAAATTTTGTGAACAAGATGGAGGCTATGACATTTCTCTGTCAAATGCTAATTTTAAGAGAAATGCTTCTGATGGACTGCATTTAAAAAGGGGTATCTAAACTTGGGCATGAACTACGATATGAAGCTGACAGATCAGTTGCAAAGGGGCAGAGTAATTACCAACTGTCCAGAAATGTTTCCCATCAGATCCAAACTTTCCATCAAGGAAAACAAACGTCAGGAAGTAGACACATTGTGCCATTGTTGTTACATTGGACATTAAACCAATATTATCACTGTCGGGTAGTTCAAACATCTGGCCGAAACTAGCTAGGATTGTGATGTTGGGTTTTTTTATAAGTTTGTGTTTCGTTTCCACTTTCAACCACATGATGTATTTGAACCCCTGCAGACCATAAGATTCTTTTTCTTTTTGCCTTAACATGAGCAAAGCCCCCCCATCAGAATTGCTAGCTTGGATGGTTTGGGTGTCAATGAAACTGGCTGCTGGCTGCTGTCTGTACTCTCATGTCTCCAGAGAGTGATGGATGTTTCTAGTTTGTGGGGACAAGTGGTAGGTGAGCAGGCAACTCCATTGAGGCATTTGATGTAAGATTTTTCCCATTATATGCAAAGCCCATTGAGGGCTGTCAAAGCATGAATATGGAAATGGGGCATGGCAGTAGTCATGTATTTCTTCATCAAAACTGCTCTTGTTTTTTTCCTCATCTGGCTATAAAATAGAATGACATGCTCATATAAAAAGCTTATAATTTGTGAAAGTAAGCAGCAAATAAAGAACTCTACTTTAATTAGGATGCTTGGTGGAGATTTAGTTTGACACCTTCTAAGGTTTTAGCTTTTTCCCCTTAACTAGCTTTAGTGGTTATGAAGTTGTTTTCAATCTTATGTGCCTTTAATCACACAATAATGATTGATGTCGCCCATTATTTGCATGTGAAGATCTATTAAAAACTTTGTGTTGCTGAATGGATATAGTGTAATTAAAGAAAGTGTATGAGTGACTATCACATCAAAAATAGAAGCACTTGGGCAAAATATGAAAAAGAAAATAATAAATTACTCATCGTTTTTAAATATTTATTTCTCTTCTAACTTTTACAAAGATCAATTTTTCTTTTTAATTTTGATATATTTTATATTAAATTTGAAATTTGATAATATAATATATATGACAAAATTTTAAAAAATTATAAATAAAATAAAAAATGAGAATATTGGGTATTTAAAATTGAAAAAAAAATTATTTTGCGACATTAAAAAATAACAAAGAAAATAAGACGGAGAAGGTACCTGAGAATTTTTTTAATAAATAAATAAAATGGGCGACCCGGGCCAAGATTGGACTTGAGATAAAGAAAACTTGTTTTAGGCTAACCTGGACCCAATGTTTAATCTAAAAGTCTAAGGCCCAGGCCTTAGACAGCGGGT